TTTCCCTCAGACCATAGATTGATCATGTACGAAGAGTGGTATCGGATGGCATATTCCTTCTCGAATTCGAATTCGATCGGTGCACGCGATCGCTCCCCTGGACGTCCTTGTGCTATTTGGGATATCTTTTTAGAATAAAACGATATCGCAAGGACGTCTCTGTTACGTCCCATTGCATGTTACGTCACATTAACATTATTTTAGGACATCACAAAGATGTCTCTTAGATGTGATAAAAGATGGACATTTGGATATTCCCGTGATATCACACTAATGTAATTTGGATATCTCAAGTTATCTCTGGGATATGGGATATCCTTAAACAGATATCACACTGATATCACTGTGATGTCGCTGTGCTATGTGGGTAAAGTTTAATTTATTAGTCGTCATTGAATTTTAATAAAATAACATCACTATTTTTGTAAAATATTAATATCAAATACTTTTGTAACATATCTCTAAATCAGAATTTTCTTATTATTTACAATAAGTAATTCAAATAAGAATGCAAAAAAAAGAACAAACCTATTTTTATGTCTTTTGTTGCCTTTCGTGAAATTAGAGGTACAGTGGGAAAAATTCTCATAGTTTCTTTTATGACACCGTCCAAATAACACATATATTGTAAGTCCTCATACATGACTGGCGCATCTTTTGTACTTTTAGTTCCATAAATTTCACATAATTCTTTATATACCTTTTCCTTAATATAAAATATAGAATTCATTTAAATAAATGTATGCAAAATAATATTTTTATTCATAATGATCGGAAGAACATTGCCCTTGTTAAAACAATTTTCATACACAAATAATATGTTATACATCTATAATCTATGTACAGCTATGTATGTAAAATTATATACCAAATATTTCCATACATATTTTTTACATGTTGTATTTTTATATAAGTCTTTATAATTCAATATTAAAATCTTTATAATTGTATATAATTCTTTGTAATTTTACATAATTCTATTAATTTATATGAATAAAATTTTAAAAGGAAAAATTTGCTAATTTATAATTATACCTAAATATGTTTAACTAGGTATATACTAACTATACATATGCACAATTACATAAATTATAAATGGACAAGTTTTTTCATATAAAATTATATATGTAGAATTATATAATATAAAATTATAAAGAATTATAAAGATATATAACATTACATAGAAATACACAATATAGGAACATATTTGATATACATATAATTTTATACAATTCTATATATTTATACATGCATACAAATAAAATTATTTTTCTGGTAAAAAGATTGTTAAGTACATGCTTTGTATACTCATTGTTGAGTATTAGCGTAATATTTAAACTTAATTATTTTTTTCAAGTATTAATTCAAACCAAATCTAATTGTAAATTCCAAAATCTGTATTAATATAATAGTTCAGTTAAAATAATGTTACACATTATTATAATATGAGTGATACATATACATATAGTAAGTGAGAAAATAATTTTTTATAACTGTTTAATTATCTCTTATATTTTAAAATTGTGTTGCTTACAACGCTCTGTTTATTTATAATAACGAGTAAATTCAACAGTTTCGAATATACATATGTATATATTATACGTACTTGCACTTCGGGGAAACTCCCTAATAGAAAGGTCACAAAATTAATCAAACTAGTAATTGTGTCATTGGCCTACAAATATAAATATTTACTTTAATATTACACATATAACTATTTATAATTATTATAAAAAATTGTACGTACCCCTAGTAACATTGTCATTACATTATCATGAATCTCTTCTCGTGTAAAATTGTTTTTACGCGATGCTTCTGTCAGAATTTCGAAAAATGTTCTGTCTATATAATGACAGGAATATACATATTAAATTAAATTAAGTATTTAAAATATAAGCATAATTTTTTAATTATGTGCTGGAAAACTTTAATTTTAAACTTAAATTATATCTTTATATAAAAATTAAAAGTAAATTTAAGTAGAAACAATTTTCTGGAAATGTATAATAAAAGAGAGTATTTAATATTGTTTCAGATAGTTTCGAACAATTTATATTGCTATCATTTTGCAAACGAAAGTATTTTCATAACTTTTATATGAAATGTGAATAAGCTTACGAGTACGGCTATTTCCATCTTTTGTATTCGGATTATTGAGATCATGTGTGAGCTGCTGTATCATCTATATAATATATTATGTAATGGATAAAATAATGCAAGATGTTATTAAATCAATTTATAGTAGCATTACCTCATCGCTAAGTGAATTTATAAAATCTGTATCTTTCTTGTGGTTGCGCCCCAAAGCAGTAATATAGAATATACAATCAAAAAATAATTTGTTTCTTACTCTATATATAATATTATTTTTCAACCTGAAACACGGTTTTATATAAAATCGTAATTTTTATACATACATCAGATAAGGTTATAAAAGATTATTGAACTAACTGCGACTATTCAATGTACAAAATTTTATAAATAGAAGGAGATATTGTTTTTTCAGTAAAGAACATATTTCTTCAGTAACAATATTAGTTTATTTATAATAAATATTAATTTACAAAAATTAATTAATACACTACAAATTTTTTTGATACATGCAAATGTGGTTTTTCACAGAAATATAAAATTTTGAAATTAAAAGAATTCTATATATATTCTGAATATAAAAATTTATACCTCTGAATTGCTTTGACATATTCCTTGTTTTTTTCTTGTTCCAACTTTATGCCCATCAAAGAACCTGTATAGTAACAACATATAAAAGAAATATTGATGAGTATTTTTCAAAAACGACCTACGCTGGCCAATGCCTTTATTTAATATAAAAACGACATTTCGGTCCTGGATTTGGACCCTTTTCAAGTAATCTGTAATCGTATACAATTCGTCACTAAATTTATATATAAAATAAATACAGTATAATTAAAATGTAGACTAAGAGAGATTGTGAGTAAATCGTGAATCTATACCTGTTTCGTAATTATCCCTGATCTCATATCGTTCGTTATATTGGCCAAACGAACGATATGAGATCAGGGATAATTACGAAACAGGTATAGATTCACGATTTACTCACAATCTCTCTTAGTCTACATTTTAATTATACTGTATTTATTTTATATATAAATTTAGTGACAAATTGTATACGATTACAGATTACTTGAAAAGGGTCCAAATCCAGGACCGAAACGTCGTTTTTATATTAAATAAAGGCATTGGCCAGTGCAGGTCGTTTTTGAAAAATACTCATCATTGTTTTGAATTGCTGGCGATATCATATCTACCCTAAAAGAAATATTACTACTTGAAGTATTAATGAACTATTGATTATAAATTTAGACTTTTATATAGGATGTTCATCTATTTGAATTTTATGTTATACTCTATTTATACTATACTAAACAAAAAAGAGAACACATTTGAAACATTTTAAACTGTTTAACTTTAGCAATTGTTTAATTGTAGCCACTTTATTGTTTTTCTTTGAACCACAAAGCTAGGAAAATTAAGTCTTTTAAAAAATATAATAATTTTTTAATCTTATTTGTAAAATATCTTAGGTAAAGATGGCGAAGAGGAAAAAGGTACGGTGCGAGAGTGAAATGAGAAAGGGAGTGGAAGGAAGGATTGGAGCGGAGAGAACGGAAGGAGGAAGGAGTGATGGAAGGAGGAACGGGAGAAGAATCTGTGGACATGGAGGCGTGAGAAAATAGTGAAAAGTGAAGGAGAAACTGGAGTGGAAAAGATGAGATGGCATGAGTCGGCAGTCTTGGAGCGTGGAGAGCGGAGGGGAGAGGAGAGCAGAGGAGCGAGTATCGATACAATCGATACAGGGAAGGAATAGGATTGGACGGGAGGATCGAGAGATCGAAGGAAGAGGAGGAGGGGAAGCGACAACAGCGAGTCGAGAGATCGATGGACGGGAGCAAAGGAGGAGTGAGTGGAGAGAGTTGTGAGAACGAGAGGTGAGAGAGAAGCGGAAGAAGCAGAAGGAACGGATAAGGAGAGGACGGAGGAGCGGAGAGAACGGAAGAAAAGGAGGAAAGAGAGAGAGAAGGATAAGGAGCAGGAGAGGAAGAGGAGAGAAAGGAGAGGAAGAGAGAGAGAGAGAGGAGAGAGAGAGAGAGAACAGGAGAAAGAAGAGGCGAAGGAGGAAAGTAGGAAATGAACAGTGGAGAGCGAGAAGGAGAGAGGAGACGAAAGGAGTGGAAAGAGAGAGAGGAGGAAGGGAGGGGATTGGAGAAGGAGATAGGAAAATCAAGGAGCGATATCGAAGGAGGAGAGGAAGAGAGGCAGGAGAGCTCGGGGTGGGACGACGAGATCGAGTAATCGAGAGTTCGACCAGGAAGAAGGCGAGGTGGAAGGGGAAAGTGTTCAAGAGTGTAGAGGGAGTCGGAGAGAGAACAGGCAGTGCAGGTGGCAAGTCACGAGAAAGGGAGGGAGGGAGGGAGGGAGGGAGAGTGGGTATGTGTGTGTGGGGGGGATAAAAAGAATAGCGAGGGATGTATTAGGGAGGGATCCAGAGTTAGGGGAGGTAATGGATAGGCTAGGAGAAGAGGGTAGAGTATGATGATAACGGAGATGAGATTTGAATATGGAGGAGAGGAAAGCGAGATGGAGGATGGCAGAGAGGAAGAGAGTAGAGAGGGAAAGGGAAAGGGGGAGGTAAAGGTCGAAAACAGAGGGATGTGGAAGGATGGAAGGGAGTGGAGATGGGTGGGAGAGGAGAAGGAAAAGGGGAGGAGTGGAGGAGAATATAAGGAGTAAATAATAAAGGAAATAATTGTAGGAAGGAGAGAGGAGAGCGAGAGGGACCACAAGGAGGAAGCAGGAAAGGAAAAAAGGAAAGACGAAGCAGGATGGAGAGGGAGAAGGCGGACGGTGGAATCAGGAAATGGAAGGAAGAGGGAAAGGATGCGTGACAGAAGAAAAAAGAGAGAAAGGAGGTGCAGGAAGGAAGGACAGTAGGAGCGGATGACAGGAGGAGATAAGATGGAAAGGAGATACGAGAAGGAAGGAAAGGAGAAGGACGGTGGAAGCAGGATACAGAGGAAGAAAAGAAATGGGCGAAGGAAGAGGGAGGGATGTGGGTAGGGGGAGGGACGAAGGGGGAGGTAAAAGGTTGTAAAGGTCGCAAACGGCCAGGCCGCGACAGGAGGGAACAGATTGATATTTGGAAAGGGTTCGGACACGCTCCCCAGAAAAGCGCCGATGTATCTCAAAATTGAGAATAAACACACTACTACTACTGTAAAATATCTTAGAAAATAATCTCATAAAAACTATGTATATAAAATATCAAAATGTATATTCTATAAAAGTAAAGAAAACTTTTTGTATACACTAAAATATTGTTACTATACTAAATAATTCTTACTTTTAGATTACATTTAAGTGAAAAAAAAGTTATATTATTTACGCATCAAAATGCTTGTAATCTTTTTAAGAAAATTTTTATCATATTTTTAATAATTTACAAATACATTAAATTATATATGTAATCTTACCGCATGCCATTCTCCAAGAGCAATTTGATATATGATCATGGAGATCAATTTCATTTCCGTTTAAATCGTTTTTTTGCAATTGATGTACAAGTATTTCGGATTCTTCAACGAAAATCTTAAAAAAATTTTGCAACATAGATGGACTGAATGTAAATGCAGCTATTTTTCTTATTCGAGTCCATATGGATGCTGAAATAATTATTACAAAAGCTAGGAAAATGTATTATACAATATCACAATATTTTAAAGAAATTATTATCAAAGATATTTATATATGTATATTAAAATGTTTTAGGAAATTTATGGCGTAACTAACAACTAATATTATTATATAATAATACTAAATAATTAGGAATCAGAAATAATATAATAATGCTAAATAATTAGGAATTAGAAATAATATAAGTAAACTTTACTATAAAAATAAATATACTTCATAAATGTAACATTGGAATATAAACGATTCTGACAGTATGTTAGAACAAATCTAAAAGATTTTTTTAAATTAATTATAAAGAAAGTAACCCATTGTATAGTTACAAAAGAAGTTATTAGTTTTACTTTTGTAGATACGATATCTTACCAGGAGCAGTAAGTAATCCCATACCAAATAATGGTTCGGCAAGTTTATACATTATACTTTTATCGATACAATTTCTGTTGCGTAAGATATGCTAAAACATTATAAATTAACGTTTTTACATTTGTGGAAATGTGCGCATGTTTGTTTCATTTGTGTAATAAATATACATATATTTCATCAATTATGAACCAATTTGTGATTAGTTAAAGTAAATTATAAAGATACGTACATCACATATGCATGTATGTATAATATGTATATGTATACACTACCGGTCAAAAGTATTTTACCACCTATATATTACGTAATCTTATGTTAACCCTTAAATGCATCATGTTGCCATTCGGCAACATACCGATATCTATGTAGGTGGGTAGCGTTGAATGTATGTACGGCATCGATGAAGCGCACACTGTAGTCGATTGGCTACATCCCGATCGAGTGTAAACTTATGTACTTATGTTTCATATGTTTCTAATTTCATGATGTTGCCATTCGGCAACACACCCTTTTGTTCTTGAAAAAATAAAAAACCGTAAGATAAATTTTTTCTCATTTTTTCCTTATTGTACTCCTTTTGTTGTATCATATTCAGCAAAAAAATCATAAAAACAAAAAATCATGCATTTAAGGATGTATCTGAGCTATTTCAAAATAGTACCAAATTGATGAAACTTCGGGAAACACTTCCTTTGTTATCTGTAATATACTGAAAAAAATTTTAAGTAGATTTACTAAATCGTTAGAGAGTAATTATTATTTCAATTATGTCTGATTTTACACGTGTTCTTATGGGAAACGTAATTTTCTTGAATGAAATGAGTAATAAAGTATAGAAAAAATAGTATCAAAATTTTAATTTTTTTTATAGATATAGACCATGGATTATTGGAACTTTGTGCAAAATTCGATTAGGTTTCACAACACGGTTTAGGAGAAATTAATTATTATTCATGACAATTTTGCGGTTTCTGTAATATGTCAATTACTGGACTGTAGAAGTGCGGCAACGTCGCAATCAGCTGAACGTGTCAAGCGAATAACCTGACCGATATAGTAGTCACGTCGTAAAGTCTCGTTTTGTCTGTATTGTTTTCATTTAGAGAACAAGAATAAAAATTAAATAATTTTGATAAACAACATAAACTCTGGTTTCTCGCTCACATTTTCCTCCATGGTAGGCTCAGTTTTTTCTTCTTGCACAATTTGAACTTTTCTTCTTAAAAATCCATATCTTTGTTGCGCAAGTCTCTTTCGATACGTACTTTCGCTAATTATTTTTCCTTTCCACCGATACATTTTTGTGGCTTTTGACATTGCGATGCAGGACTAAACAGAAGATAGCTCGCAATGTCAAAAGTGCATTGCTATCAATCTTAAAGCCACCCAGATAGCACATGGACGTTGACAGGATGTCCGATGGACGTCCGCATCTGGACATTCGGACGTCCAAAGTACGTCCATGTAAGGCCCGTAGGATGTCCATTGGATGCCCATGGGATGTCCAAAATGCACTGCTTTAGAGATCCATAGGACGTCCAAAATACATCCAACTTTGGATCTATTTTGGACCTGTTTTGGACCTATAACGGACGTGTTTTTGACAAATGTGTACCTATGTTTTGGATAGGATTTTTAATAATTAAATATTAATTAACTAATTTATTTCATTGTATTTATATCTTGTCATACTTAGTATATTAATTATATATTTATATTAAAGATATATTTATATTATATATATAGTTAGATCATATATTTATCTCTGTTATACATATTATATTAATTTTTATACTTATTTTATTTATTTTTGTTTTATTTTATTGATTTATATTACTTTAACGTGGTGTCTAGC